GCTTAGCTACCATCTACTTGCCCTTCCTGCTGAAAGACAAAAGTTGGGCATTGACTACAATACTTTTAATATCCTCAACTCTTCGTTCAATTTACTTAATTCAACAAATTCCTCACTGGCCAATAATTGTTGGCTATGTTTACAAATGGGTTTCCCTGTGCCTTTGGCCTTTCCAACAACCAATTCCTCACTTGCGCCCTACCATAATTGTTCTTTCTCGGTTCCCATCTTGGTTCAGCCTATCCAGTTTTTTGAGGCGCATTGTTTCACTTCCGATCTTAATACCTCTCTTGACTTGGGAGCACTAGCTTTTTCAAATTGTTCCACTTTTACTGATGTCACCTCTCAGGTGAATTCTCCTCTTTGTCCTCCCGAGGACACTGTTTTCATTTGTGGAAATAACCGGGCGTATACCGCATTGCCGACTAATTGGACTGGTCAATGCGTGTTGGGTTTCCTTCTACCCAACATAAACATGGTTCCTGGAAGTGAGCCCATGCCCATTCCAACGGTTGACCATTTTTTCAGTAGAAGTAAAAGAGCAGTATACCTGATTCCCTTATTTGCAGGCCTGGGTATAACTGCCGCCGTGGCCTCAGGGACAGCTGGATTAGGCATATCTCTCTCACAATATACTAAACTGTCTCAACAACTTATTAATGATGTTCATGCTCTTTCCAGTACTATTCAGGATCTTCAGGATCAGGTTGACTCCTTAGCTGAGGTAGTCCTTCAAAATCGACGGGGCCTTGATTTGCTAACAGCGGAAAAGGGGGTATTTGCTTGGTCCTGCAGGAGAAATGCTGTTTCTACGCCAACAAATCAGGAATTGTCCGCAATAAAATCCGACAGTTACAAGATGACCTGGAAAGAAGATGCCAGGAGCTAGCTGAAAATCCACTCTGGACCGGTCTCAATGGACTCCTACCCTACCTTCTTCCCCTCATGGGTCCCCTATTAACCCTTTTGATATTGGTTGTTGTGGGTCCTTACATTTTTAACAGGATAATCTCTTTTGTAAGACAACAGATTCAGGCCCTTCAGGCAAAACCCATTCAGGTACATTACCATAAGTTGGAGATGCTAGATAAGGGAGGCTCTTACTCAGACTTACACTCAGTCTGAAGAAATAAGACTCCCTTCCCTGTGCGATGGACTGGTCAGCCAATGACGGGTAAGATCGGGGACAGACTCAAAATGGCTTGAGGTGCTAAATCGCCACACGTCTGTGACTCCTGAGACCTAAGACAGGCGCAGTTCCCGAGGGGTTTTGTCTTTTCGCTCTCTCATTAGAAATAATAGAAAAGGAGGATCTGTCGGGGCCCAGACCTGAGCCCAGACCTGAACATCGGGGTTCTTGCCTGAAGCAGGTACTGAATGTTAGCTCAAGTGAAGGTTTCAAGTTTCCTATTGTGACGACTGATCCTTTCCCCCTGCTTGCTACTGTGGCTTGTTTGCATTGGTGGTCTCTCCTTGCTAGAGATAAGGAGAGACCTCCTCCTCTGAACCCTATATAACATTGTACACATTCCTGAATAAATGAGACTGGCGATGATCCTGGCTTTGTCTCCACTCCTCGCGTACCCCTGTTCCATACCAAGCCCCTGCTTCCTCCCCCGGGTACCCCCTTGATTTGCCCGGCTGGCCTGACATGTTTAGGTGTTCTATTTCTTCTTTATCTAGCTTTGGGTGATTGTAGAGTTGTAGGAATTTGTCCATCTCCTCTAGATTGTTGAACTTGTTTCCATATAACTGTTCATAGTAGTTACTGAAATATTTGAATTCTGCTGTGTCCGTTGGGAGAAAGCACAGATAAATAGGATCATAAATGAAAGATCCTGTTTATTTGTGCTTTCTCCCTTTTTTTCCTTGGCTAGGGGTTTGTCTATTTTATTGATTTTTTTGAAGAACCAGCTCTTGGTTTCATTGATCTTTTGGATTGTTTTTTTAGTTTCAATTTCATTTATTTCTGCTTCGGTTTTTATTATTTCTTTTCTTCTACTGGTTTTGGGTTTTTTTTTTTTATTGTTCCTTTTCTAGATCTTTGAGCTTCGAGATTAAGTTGTTTCTTTGAGTTCTTTCTTATTTCTTGATGTGAGCCTCTATTGCTATATATTTTCCTCTTATTACTGCTTTTGCTGCATCCCATACATTTAGGAAATTGGTGTCCTCTTTGTCATTCAACTCAAAGAATTTTTTAATTTCTTCTTTGATCTCCTCGTTAGTCCAGTGGTCTTCCAGAAGTGTGGTTTTCAATCTCCATGAGGTAGGAGAGTTCCTTGCCTTCTTTTTATGGTTTATTTCTAGTTTGATGCCTTCATGGCCAGAAAAGATGGTTAGAATGATTTCAATCTTGGTGTATCTGTTGATGTTTGTATTGTGTCCCAGGATGTGATCGATCCTGGAGAATGATCCGTGTGAGCTTGAGAAATATATGTACTCAGATTTTTTTGGATTTAGTGTTCTATAGATGTCTGTTAAGCCCAAGCGCTCTAGATCCTTATTTAGAGCTTTAGTGTCTTTACTTATTTTTTGTCTTATTGATCTATCCATTGTTGATAGTGGTGTGTTAAAGTCCCCCACTACATATGTGTTTTCTCTGATGTCTGTTTTCAGAGATGACAATAGTTGTCTAATATATTTTGGTGCTCCTTCGTATGGTGAGTATATGTTAATGAGTGTTATTTCTTCTTTAAGTATTGTCCCCTTGATTATAATGTAGTGACCATTAGGGTCTCTTTTTATCTTTTTGAGTTTGAAATCTGTTTTATCTGATAAAAGTATAGCTGTTCCTGCTTACTTTTTTGGTCCATATGCTTGTAGGATTGTTTTCTATCCTTTAACTTTGAGTCTATTTTTATCTTTTGTAGCTAAATGTGTTTCCTGGAGACAGCAAAGGTTGGATTTTGTTTCTTAATCCAGCCTGCAACTCTGTGTCTTTTTATTAAAGAGTTTAGTCCATTTACATTTAGAGTTAATAATGATGTTAGCATCTGTATTTGCCATTGTGTTTGTCTTTCCTTTGATTTTATTTATTCTTTTAATAACTATTTTTTGGCCTTCTTTAGTTGTTATTCATCTCTCTGAGGTTCTGGCTTTAGGATACCTTGTAGTATTTTTTGGAGTGGGGGTTTAGTCGTAATGAAATTCCAGAGTTTCTGTTTGTCTGGGACGGTCCTTATTCTTTCTTCACAGAGGAAGGAGAGCTTTGCATGATAGAGTATTCTTGGTTGGCATCTGTTTTCTTGGAGTCTATTGACTATCCCTCCACTCCCTCCTTGCCCGTAGTGTTTCTTTGGAGAAGTCTGATGTCAGTCTGATTGGTTTTCCTTTGAATGTTACCTGTTTCTTCCCTCTTGTCTGCTTCATTATTTTTTCCTTGTCCTGGGTTCTTGGGAGCTTTACTATTATGTGTCTTGCTGTATTTTTCCTTTCGTCGTAGAAGTTTGGTGTTCTTCTTGCTTCTTGTATATCAATTTTCAGCTCCTTCTTCATGTTTGGGAAGTTCTCTTCAATTATCTCCTGGAATATTTTCTCTGTTCCTACATCTATCTCCTCTCCTTCTGGGATTCCTATAACTCTTATATTTCCTTTCCTCATGGAGTCAGATAGTTCCTGAAGTCTCTCTTTGGTCTTTTTCCTTTGTTCTTCTCTTTCCTTTCTGTTTTGGTTCTTTTTATTTCTGTGTCTTCAAGAGTACATATTCGTTCTTCCATTTCATCTATTCTGCTTTCATTGTTTTTCCAGTTCTTTAGCACCTCCATTAATTCTTTGATCTGCATTTCTTTTACTTCCCTCTCTAGGGACTCAATTTCATTCTTCTGATCATTGATCATTTTTCCCTTATCATTGTTTTCCTTTATGATTTCTGTCAGTTTTTTTAATCATGGCAATTTTAAATTCTCTTTCTGGAAGACTCAGAAGTTCTTCCAAGTTACGGTCGTTGTAATCTGGGGGTGGTTTTCTTTTTGTGGTGTGCTTTTTCCTGAGGAGTTGATGGGTTGCGTGGGGTTTTCTACTCCCTACTGTCTGTTTTCCTTTTTTTTTTTTTTCTTAAGGCATGTTTTATTTATTTGTTTGTTTGTTTGTTTGTTTATCAAGCACTGGGTACAGTCAGAAGCGCGGGAGGGTGAGAGAATTCACCAGAGCCAGAGCAGGGAGCAGAGCAGGCAGAAACTGAAGTACACTGCTGAGGGGAGCAGCAGGCGGCAGGAGAGGTCTGTGCGCCATGTGGTACCCTCCTCCAGTGGGTGGGGAGCAGCCGGGGATTGAACCAGTGCCGCAGAGGCCACGGGCAGCTTCACAACCCAGCGCTCAACCACTGCGCCACCAGGGAGGCCCTACTGTCTGTTTTCTAATTTGCTGTATGCATTGGGATACTGTGTTGCTGATACTTGGCCAGCATCTTGGGCGAACTTCCCAGCTCACCTCTGGCTCTTCGAAGAGCCATCTGCCGGTTTCAAGCAGGTTTTACTGAAGAAAGGTCCCTGTTCTAAAAAGGCAATGTGGGTTCACACTCCTCTGCTGCCCCCTCTGGGCTGGGACTGCAGGACAGAAGGGGCCTGGCATGGGCGAACTTCCCAGCTCACCTCTGGTTCCTCCAGAAGCCCTCTGCCGGTTTCAAGCAATTTTTACTGAAGAAACATCCCTTTTCTAAAGTGGCGATGCGGGGACATACTCCCTGCGCGCCCTGTCTGCCCTGGCGGTGGGTTCCCGCTCCCCCTCTGGGCTTGGACTGCAGGCCAGAAGGGGCCTGGTTTGGGCGAACTTCCCAGCTCACCTCTGGCTCCTCTGGAAGCCTTCTCCCGGTTTCAAGCAGTCTTTACTGAAGAAATGTCCCTGTTCTAAAGTGGCAATGCATGGACGCACTTCCTGCACGCCTGGTCAGCACTGGCAGTGGGTTCCCGCTTATATAGGATTCTTATTAAGATTTTGGAGAGTCATGGCTGATTTGGGATAGAACATTTGATTGAAAAGGACAGACCAAATTCCTATCTCACCTTCTAGAGAGAAGACTTGAGAGCTGACTCTTCTTAATGGAATTCTGTAGGGCTCAGAAGATTCACGAAGTGACCAAAGTGTCTGTTTCAATTGGCGCTGCCATCTTCATATCTATGGTTTATTAAATTATTGGCCTAGTTCTTCACCCTTCACTTTATATATTCCCTTTGCTCTGGAAGTTGTGTGGCATGCATTTTCCTGGTCCTTGACCTCAAAAGTGCATCTTGATTTCATGAGATGTATCTGTAAATTCCTACAAAAGCTCAATATGATCCAGATTCAACTTCAGCAGCAGCTGGAAAGAAAAACAAAGAATTGCATTCTTTATCGAAAATACTTTGTCAGGGCTTCCCTGGTTGGCATAAGGAGTTAAGATGCAACCTATGAAGCTATCTGCAGCCACTGCAGCATGAGTTTGAACCCCAGCCAGGGAGCTACCCACATGTTGCGGCAAACCTCTCCTGACTCACCATCTGCTCCCCTCAGCAGGGTATATAAGATAGTGACAATGGAAATTAATTTTTAGTAATTAATTTATGCTTAATTCATAAAGAGGAGTTACTGTAAATGATAAACATCTGTTTGGATGTCAGTCATAAACTTAGCACATGGTGGAAAAATGAGGCAGGTAATGTACAGAGAAACTTTAAAATTCTTATGAACCACAGTCAAACTGAAATCAATCATAAAGTAAGCCAAAGTATCTCAAAGTATACTTCTGGTTATCAAGCAATAATATTTAATTTCTAACATCTGATTAAACACAGATTTTCAAGAAATTTTAAATGTGTTGATTTAGTTACATCTAATTCAATTATATCAGTGATTCTGAAAATGCGAGAGCCAGGGACTTATAATTTTAAATTTTCTGTCTACTTTATTAGCACAAGTAACTGACATTTACTTAGCATGTATAAATAAGTTAGTGAATGACTAAGAATTTTGTCAAAGTATAAATGAATATCGCATCAGAAATTTGAAACCAAGGTGATATAAAATTTGTCAAAAAGTAATGTAGGGCCTCCCCAGTGGCACAGTGGTTGAGCACTGGGCTGTGAAGCTGCCCACAGCCTCTGCAGCACTGATTAAATCACCCGCCACCGACGAGGGTCCCACATGGCATGACAGACCTCTCCTGCCGCACCTGCTGCTCCCCTCAGCAGTGTATTTCGTCAGTCTGCCTGTTTTGTTCCCTTCTCTGGCTCTGGTGAATTCTCTCACCTTCCCACACTTCTGACTGTACCCAGTGCTTGTATAAATAAATAAATAAATCTTAAAAAAAGAAAGGTAATATAACTAACCTTGTCATAGTTAAGTGTCTATGCTTTCATTTTAAGGTCGTGGGTTGAAGGTAGGAAAAGTTGTTGAATTTTGTCTAGTAAGATAACTATCAAGCATGAAACGATTATTAGGACTATTGAGTGGGCTTGTTGCAGAAGATAGCGGTAGGCATGGCCTCAGAGGAGGAGCGTTGAATACATGTTCGGGATGTGTTTCCCCCATAAGACGTTCAGTATTGACTTCTGTTAGCTTCTCAATGGTCCTGTGAAGACTGCCAAACCCAAATCCTTAATATTTCATTTTGGCCTGAATAATTTGCACTTTAAAAACAAATGTTGCCATAACATGAATTTCCCATAAAACAATGTTTTAACACTCAAAATGTGTTGGCGCATACTTACTGTTATAATTAGGGGTTTAAAATTGTGGTAAAGAAGCCCATGTTTCTGGGAAGGTTCCTAATAAGTAATTCAAAGCAGGGAGGGCGGGCAGTGATGGAGGCGGCTTCAGGGATAATGTCAAGCATTTCCTTTCACTATCCTTACACATTTCACTCAGTACCTCTGAGAGTTAAACCTTTGGCACTGAAGATTTACTTGGAGCAACAACTTCTAGGGGAGAACAGGAGAGGTGCCTGGTGCGTGACTAAAGAGAACTTAATAGCTCCAGGGAAAAGAAAGCCCCTAACACTGTTACAAAGGCACTGGTGTTAAGATCTACCCATGTGGGCTTCCACACACCTTCTCAAGCAGAAGCAGAACCCAATATTTATTTGTAGTCAGTCTGTGAATGATACTACCCTTCACCTCCTGCAGCTTTCCTCATTTCACTTGTAGGCCTTTCTGGAGAGCAGAAAATCTAAAACTGTGAAGGACAGTTTGTCTCAGGGTGCCCTCCAGCAATAGTGTCAGAGACCATGTCAAGAAAATTAATTCACCAGTAGCCAAACTGTGCTAAGTGTAGTGATACTTGAAGACCACTTGAATTGAAATTGTAATCTTCAAAAAAAAATAAACTCATTAATATTTCTACTGGGGGAATTATGACAAGCAATTTTATAACAATAACACTAAGTTACAAGTTTCAAATATCCTTATCTTAAAGTCTATTCGATCAGGTTAACTAGATGAAATTATTTAGGGCTAAAAATTAAGTCATGTAAAATCAACAAAAGAGAGGAGATTCAGTTCCCCCGCGCGGTAGCGCAGTGGTTGAGCGCTGGGTTGTGAAGCTGCCCTCAGCCTCTGCAGCGCTGCTTTGATCCCCAGCTGCCAGGCTAGGGTCCCACATGGTGCGAAGACCTCTCCTGCTGCCCGCTGCTCCCCTCAGCAGTGTATTTCGTCTGTCTGCCTACTCTGCTCTCCCTCTGGCTCTGGTGAATTCTCTTACCGTCCTGCGCTTCTGACTATACCCAGTGATTGTATAAATAAATAAATCAGTCTTTAACAAAAAACAAAAAAGAGAGGAGATTCAAACTGTCCTGGAATAACATTTTAAAGATATATTCACTGGGCCTCCCTGGTGGCGCAAGGGCTTGGGCATCGCACTGTGAAGCAACCGACAGCCTCTGAGGCATGGGTTTGATCCCCAGCTGGCCAGGGAGAAACCCACATGGCACATTAGACCTCTCCTGACTAGCCCCCAGCTCCCCTTAACAGTGTATTTCATTCTTTCTGCCTGTTCTGTTCCCCACTCTGTCTCTGGTGGATCTTCTCACCCCCACATCGCTGGCCTGTGCCCCAGCTCTTGTATGCATAAATAAAAAATGAATCTTAAAAAAAATATTCACTTATTAACATTATTTTCCAAATAATGACTTCTTACTAATTACATGAACCTGGATCTATAACAATTATGCTTTAGAGGTAAATAAATGAACTAAGTTTATTTTCTATGATTCCTGTTTTTTCAGCTTACGTGTTTACGTTATTTTGCAGTGATTGTCTCATTTTTGATTCTTCTAGGTAGAGCTGCATGTATTTTCCCAATTTTATTCTCTGTGACTCTAATTCAGTTTGCAGTCTGCAATTTTCAGTTTCCAAATTTTTATATCTGACTTCCATTTGACTTATTGAAGTAGTCTGAGTACCTCTGAACAGTTTCAAATTGTCTTGAGGTGTTATTTGTGCCTAAAGAAAATTAAAATACATTTTAATGCTTATAATCTGAATAATTATACAGGTATCTTTCTGAGTCAGTGATTCAGAGAGCAATTTCAACCATGAAGGGCCTCCCTGGTGGCCTAGGGGTTAAGTCTCAGTGCTATCACTGTGACCTGAGTTCGATCCCCGGCCAGGAAGATAACCCACACATGCCCCAACAGACCTTACCTGTCTCACCTGCTGTTCCCCTTAGCAATGTATTTCAGTAAATCCACCTGTTCTGCTCCCAACTCTGTTAAATGTCCTCTTAAACCATCACCCCCCTGCCCGCCCCGTCCAATTGCACCTCTGCCCTACACTCCAGTTCTTCGAAGCAAACATTAATTTAAAATTTGAAAATTAAAAAAAAATTCAAATGTGAGAAAGTTAGTTTAAAACTATCAATATCAACTAAGTTTATTGTGAATTATAAAAATAAAATTGAATCATTCCAGTATCTGTACTCATGTAGTCTGATAGTCCAAATAACAAAATCCCTTTTAAAAGTTGGTAATTGAAAAAATATAAATTAAGAATAGCCTAAGAGCATGGTACTACTTTTAAATCATCATATTTTCTCATAGCTACCTAAATAAGATATTTCTGTTCCTGATTTTATATCAATATCACATTATTATGTTAATAATATACAATGCTAACATATGTACTTTGAAAAATATCATCCATTGACCTTCTTTAACATACAACTTCCTGTTTACTGAATTCAGTTGAAGAAAGAGAAGTTGTTATCCTCTTGCCTAAACTGCTATGTAGCTTAGACAACAGATTCAACCCCTTAACCATTCTTCCCTGACCAATTTGCAAAACTTGACAATCCCCTGAAAGTCTCAAAGGGAAGTGGAGATGGAGGCAAGACTAGTGGTGGCAAATTTCACACTGGGGAACATTTTCCTCTCTGTATTAGATCCTTACATTAACTTCAATTCTCGGCTCAAATCCTTCTGTCTCAGAATAAAAGTGAAATCATTCCAATGGCCTTCAAGACCCTAAGGACTCTGCCTCCACCTACCTTCCTGACCTCAACCCTTACAAATTTTCCCTCCTCACTCCCTGCCCGCTACACATGCATCCTGCCACCCCTCATTTGTCTGAAAATGAGGGTCTAAGGCCAAAGTAACACATCACAGAGATATCCAATTCTGTTAGTGTTGGATAATCTAGGTCCAAATGATAATAATTGAGCCTTGAAATGAGAATTGTGAGAAAATTATTTATAAAAGTGTTCAAAGTAAAGTATAAATCACAGTAAGAAGATTAAATCAGAATTTTGCTGAAACCAACATTTGTCTCAAATTATAATTTCATGAAAAAATAGATGCCTTTAAAGTGCTGAGCAGGTCTTTAGAACACATAATTGGAGACCAAAATATTTTCAAATTCAATTCAAACTGACATGAGTAAAAATAAAGCTATATCAACTGTTATCTAAAATAACTAAAAAAAAAAAATAGTAAAGTCTCCTGAAAGAAAAGTTCTATGAGATGCAGCCTCTACATTTTAGTTCATCTGGAAAATCTGGAGTTGACTGTCAAGGTAATACACTTACTTGACTATTAATTCCAAAATATTCATTTTAGGTATTGAGCACTTTTACCTAGCTGCCTCATCATAGTACAAAATTGGGGTTTAAAGATTCATATTTTTATTTTAGCAGTATGACTAAGTTATTAATATCAGTCTGTACCTATTGACAACTTATTATTTGCCCTTTTAAAATTTCATAGGTGACTCTACGTCTTTACATAGTGTAATGCACCTCTCAGGCCTAATTTTTATTTACTGGACACAATAGATGGTTCTAAGCTGACAAAGCAAATATGATTAGAATCTATATATTTCTCACATTCACTAGAGTCAATCTTTAGCCCTAACCAATTATTACTTTGAGTTTTCCTTCAGGAAGCTTGAAAAATATATTTCTGAATAGAATACTTACTTCTCTTGCCGCTTTCTTCTTTTCATAATTATATATTCTTTTTTTAAAACAATTACATTCATCAATTAACTCATCGTTTGTTTCGTTTTTGTTTCTCATTTTCAGTTCGAAGCCTTCTTATAGTGTCCTGAAACTGGCCTCGCATATTCATTACTGTCTCCTCTTTATTGTCAGCTTTGTTGTGAGCCTCATTCAGGTGCTGTTGAAGCAACATGTTTTCCCTCTGTAGTTGAGATAATGTCTCCTCTAAATGTAGCCGCTCCTCTCTTGTCTCTTGGAAATGATGTTCTAGGTCTCTCTCAGACTTGTGACCTTGACCACGATCTTGTACATCAGCATCCAGTCTACGACGGCAGGATTCAACTTCTGCTTTCAGCGTTTCTGATTTTGTTTTTCATGTTCCAGTTGAGTGCTCAGCGAGTTATTTTCACTCTTTAGAACAAGAAGTTGTTCACAATGTTGGGATATTGTTTTTGCAAGTCCTTCCTCACTCTGTCGTATTGTTTTTCGCAGAAAATCATTCATTTCTTTATAATTTCAATGGTCTTTCTTTTTCCTGGTTTTGATTTTTCATTGTATTTATTTCCAGTTTCAGCATACTGATTTCATCCTGCAAAGTGTGGCTTTTATGTACTCGATCTTTCTCTCTTTCATTTCTCTCAGAAGCCTAAGTAAAATACAGATTTTGTTAGCAGTCAATGAAATTACAATTTCTCTGAAATTAAAAAGCAAATGATATGCTTATAAATGTAAAGATAGCAACTGAGCCTATCCAACAAAAAATCAGTTGGACATCAGAATTTACATAAGCATAACTGCCCCAAAGTTCAGGAATTACCTGAAGACTGAGTCGACGACGATAAAAAGGAAACATGAGAAAATTAAGAATCTCAGAATGGGAAAGAGACTAGCTATGAATTACATCAAATGCAGAAGGCATAAAAGATTAGTGTATATCTTTGGACTGATTAATTTTCCTGAAAGTTTTCTTTTTCCCTGGGCTTCCATTTATATTGTACTTTTCTAGCATTTTTAAGGTCAGTTATAAGGATTCAATCTATTGTTAACTGGTAAACCCAGGCATGGTAGTATGCCTGAAGTTCTAAGCTACACATATGAATGAACTCATTTAGATGTCAACTCAGGAAGGGAGAAGTTAAAAATACAGGCAAGCTACAGGATTTCCCCAGGTCTTCTGACTCTACTAGCGCTAGTGTACCAAACTGCATCTGCTTCCTTGGAGTAAATATATTGATACAAAAGAAGTCTTCTGTTTCAAAGCACTAAAGGTAAGTAAGGTGAAATTTATATGCTCTCTTTAAAAATCATGAGATTATTCCCTGGTGCAATTAGTTTTATTTCTTCTTCAAAATGTTTAAAATAGTAATAAATGTGAAATAGAAAACCACTGCAGAATTTGTGGAAATAACATAATTATTGATAAATTGTCACTGAGTATATATTATGGCATATCATTTCTAAAACTCCTTATATGGACATAGTTGCTATTAAAGAGAAAAAAAAAAGTTACTTTTCTCAAAACTAGAAAAATACATCCAAAGTATTGTGTCTGACAATACTTCTGATGAACATAGATGCAAAAATTCCCAATAAAAATCTTAGCAAACTGTATAAGGAGGATTGAATACAGGAGCCCCATGGCACCTAAATGCCATAAGGCATGCTGGTTTGGGGGGCTTTCTGCCTCAGCATGCTGCCACATGGGGCAGCCCTTTCCCCACTCTACACCTCATCCATGCTCCCTCAGCCCCCAGCCTGGCAGGCCCCAACTGCAGTGGCAATGGTGGTTTCCTTGCTCTACCCCTCACCAGCTGGTCCTGGGGCTCTGGCAGTGAGGCTCGCCCAGGCCCAGAGTGAGCTGGAGGGAAGAGGCCTACAGACTGTGCACATGGCCATCACGGCAGGCTCTGAGCAGTGGCCAGCTCTCCAACAGCTCAGACTCATCAAACAGTTCTTCTGCAGAGCCACATGCACGACCTCACCAGCCCCACTGAAGCATGCTAACTCATCAAACCTCCAGCCCACTAAAGCTGGTTCTGCAGAGCCCACCACCAATGAGCTTGCTTGTCAGGTCTGGACAAGCAGCCACAGTTGCACTTTTTGAATATGACACTGAGATTGAGGTGGACCAATCATGTTTAAGCTCTCAATGGACCAGTCTTAC